ATGCGTGCAACACTACTATAATGCCGCGTGGAGGACCACCATTTTTGTTATTTTTTTGTACTACTAGAACTACTAGAATGCCGCGCATGGCTAGCTGGCAGTAACCCTGTGACCAACTTGAGGTGGTGTTGCACAGCAAGTCGGGTGATATTTTCGATTTGCGGAGCGGAGCGACGGCGCTGAGGAGCTTAGCGACGAGTGCCGCTAGCATGGCATCATTACACGATACTGACCGGTGCCGGTAGGCTGAAGGAGGTCCCTTGAGTTTGGTGACCGGAGCCGATAGACGATGGAAGCTATATTATACTTGTGTTACTATAACTAACAAGGTTAAGTTTACTTGTTAGGTCATCCGTCTGCCCGCAGGGCAGGTATGCTCTCCCCCCCGAGACCCCGGAGGTTAGGTTGACGACCCCAAACGCTGCAGTCTGTCGTCGACAGAAATAGAAACGCCTTTTGACATTGAAAACACAGATATTATTACATTTATCGTATTCTGGGTAGTGTTCTGCTATCATGGGTAGAAATAATGTGCGATTATTATTTATAAATTATTATCAAACAATTAATRAAATTACAACATATTATTGTGTTTCCCAAGTCAACGTATCATTGAGTGTTGACTGTTGTTTCCCTACAATTAACCAAGTTACTAATTCCAGGGGGTGGACACTTTTGGGCGGCGGGCCGATAATAGAGAATCAGTCGGCCATGACACCCGAGGTACACAGTGTTTACATTACCATGGCATAATAAAGAATTTTTACGTTTGTATAAATGTTCACACTGAGTATAGTAATGATAAGTACCCCATTTTTACGTTATCGCCATTTTTATGTTGATCGATAATTAATGAATATCAAGATTTTTTATTGTAAAAATGGGTTCCACTTTTTTTTCAATAAAAACTGGTCAAACTGTTCGGTTGATCTGGCCTTACTGTATACCTCAGGTGTCATGGCCGACTGACTCAAGCCGTTTTCCTATGCTGCCTGTGTAAAATATTATCAGTGTCCATTCTGATTGTTATATTCTGTGCTAATTCTAAAGCTAAATTAATTAAAAAATTCGCGAACACGTGCAAAATATGGATTTTGTTAGGTTAGGTTTTATGAATTAATATAATTGGCTATTTTATTTTKTATTTTATTTACTTACAGTTTTATGTATTTTAATATGCTTAATTTAAAAATTTTGTTATTTTTAATTCAATAATCTATAGAAGTAATGATTCTAACAACTATGTTCTATGTTATGTTATAATAACTATTGATAGTGATAAAAGTACAAAATATTTAATACAAATTAAAAAAAAAAATCTGTTTAGTTATTAATTACACTATGCTAAAATATTTGAATTATGTATTTACCAATGAAATATGGTAATTTTGATTTAGGTCCGGGGCCTCGCGTTTATAATTTGCACAGGGCCTCGCAAATCATACCGCCTGCACTGCTTCAAGGGATAGATGTTGATTTGGGCGGATAGGACATTTCAAGAAAATTTTTAAAAAAGGCCCCACATGAAAAAAAATTMATAATATATGATATTAAAGGGCCCCATTACCGAAATACGAAGGGGGCCCTTCGGAAAATGCCCGGTTGCCCGGTAGCCGCCTATCTGCCCATGGATGATGATCTGCAAAAAGCTACAAAACATATTCAAGACTTTTTATCAATGTTAGAAATAGACCATAATAATTGTGATAGTCTGTTCAATATAGTATTTAATGAAGTAAAATTAGTTGTTTCTAAAATAGATCTGGAGTTTAAGTAACCACGGCGTAGTATTAAACAAGTACATCATAAAAACTATCCAACTAATGATA